TAGGGTTAGGTTTAGGGTTAGGGTTAGGGTTAGGTTTAGGGTTAGGTTTCAGGGGGTTAGGTTTAGGTGTTAATTTTAGCTTTAGCGCTCACAGCGTGCTTTTTTCGTCATGCTGTGATGACGTCAGGTACGTGGTTTCATCGAGCGCGCTTTAGTCGAACGCGGTTTTGTGGTGGAACCCTTTTTTCACCCTCCCCAGGCTCCAGAGGCTTTCTAGAAGCCTGGGGTGGGTGAAAAACAGCCCAACCCGCAAACTGGAAGTTCAGGAATGGACTTCCAGGATGCCCATTGGGCCATTTTTCACCTTCCAGAGGCTTCAGGCGGCTTCCCTGAAGCCTCCGGGGAGCAAAAAACAGCCCAACATGCAAACCACAAGTTTTTCCTGAACATCCAGTCTACGCAATGGGCCATTTTTCTCGCTTCTGATGCTCCAGGAAAGCCTCCTGAAGGCTCTGGAGGGCAAAAAAATGGGCCTATGAGCAAACCGGGACTTCTGGTTTGCTCATAGGGCCATTTTTCACCTTCCAGAGCACAAAAAATGGCCCAATGCACAAACCGGAAGTTTAGCCATAGAGCCGTTCTTCACCCTCCGGAGGCTTAGGGGTGGGGGAAGCTGTTTTTACCCTCCCCAGGGTCCTAGAAAGCCTTTGGAGCCTTAGGATGGCAAAAAACAGGTCCATCACACACCAAAATGGGGAGAGGGCAGGGGTTGCGTGTGCATACATGGAGCATGTCACTTACATAGCATTATGGGTGTATGCATGCCCACGCATGACCCCTCTGTGCTCCCCCTGCTTTTGGCATGCGATAGGAAAAAGGTTAGCCATCACTGTTCTAGATAAATAATTTTTATACAAGTTAAAAGCTTTGGAAGTCCACGAAGAAAATAGGCCTTTCATGGGAAGGGTTTCCAGGGGTGAGGGTGGTGGGCAGAGAACAGGGGAAAGGGCTGGTCCATCTGTGAAAATAATATATTGGCCAATTCTGATGTGATGGCCTCTGGGCCCAAATGCTAACTGCTTTTTTGAATGTTTTTCCTATATAGCATTTCTATGGTAGAGCCCGGCCCTATAAATACCGAATTCGAGATGAAGCTGATGGAGGAAGTGGGCAAGTCTCAGTTTCCAGGAGTTGACGCTACCACTGTGCACTGCTTCAAGGACATCTACCTGCCAGCCTCACATGAAATATTCACCACCATGGGCCAGTCCCCTGAGTCTGTGGCTAAGGTAAGGAACACTCACCCAAGTCATGTGAGGAGACTACAGAAGGAACGTTTTTCTAGATCAGAGATCTCCAAACCCTAACCCTGGCTGAGGAATTCTGGGAGTTGAAGTCCAGAAGTCTTAATGTTGGCAAGTTTGGAGACCCCTGATCTAGAAGAACTTTCCTTCTGTAGGCCCATCACATCACTTAAAGTCTTAAAGTTGCCAAGTTTGGAGATCCCTGTTCTAGATAGATGAGATCTTGCTTATCAAGTTCTGTTGCCATCATACAAAACAGAATCCATCCTCTTCCAGTGATTGGTATTGACATCAGTTTCTCCCTTCCCATTTTTATCTCCCCACCCAGTTATCCATCTAGTATTCCATGAATAGTTGCAGTAGGTGAGCAAACAGCAAGCTGCCTCTAATCAACTTTTTGCCTGATCTTTCTGAATGACCTGCCCAGACTCTTATGTCTCACCCCACGTTCATGTCTGTTTTGATTGGCTCAGGCTCTCCAAGGGCTCAGCCAAATGATATCTTTCTTAGTCCTATTAACCTAAGACCTTTTCAATTAAAAATTCAAGGGACTATCCTGGATATATCACAATATGCTCTATACCTTTGAGCTTTGGCTTTCTGATTCCAGAAGAGAAAATGCAAATTTTAAATCAATCTCACAATCTAGGAATCATGGTTCTAACCAAGGGTGAAATCCAGCAGGTTCTGGAGAACCGATAGCAGAAATTTTCAGTAGTTCGGAGAACCGGCAAATGCTACCTTTGGCTGGCCCCAGAGCGGAGAGGGAATGGAGATTTTGCAGTATCCTTCCCCTGGAATGTGAAGTGAGTGGAGATTTTGCAGTATCCTTCCCCTACCACGCCCACCAAGCCATGCCCACCAAGCCACACCCACAGAACCAGTAGTAAAAATAAATGAATTTCACCACTGGTTCTAACAGCAAAGAGGAAGCAGTAAAAAGGATGTCCATGAAAAAGAATCTGCTCCACTGGGGGATAGTTTCGATGATAAAGCGAAGTAGAAATGATTTAAATGAATACTTTTTCAAAATATCTCAACCCATCAATCTCTTTCCATTTTGCCTTTCAACAGACTGTGGTCAATATCATTGCAAAAGAACGCCCACCATTCCGGACCCAGACAAACCTTCTGTACACACCATTGGTGGCCCTAAAATACGCCGACACCTCCGGTGAACTGTCCGTCAGTGCCTATTACAACCTACTTTTCCGCTTCACCAGACTTTTCTACATCAGCACAAGCTTCCTCAAATGCATTACATGTCGGTGTTTTCGGCGCCAGATCACACCTACCTGAGACCAAGTGGAGAATGGCCTTGATGGTGGTGTGCACTCACTCCTCACATGTCTTGCTAAATTACTACATCTGACCAGATTCATCTATGTGTATAAGAGATTTTATTAGGGACAAACCCATTCTTGTCATAAGGATAGTACAGGGCGGGGCATAACCTTTTCCTAGGGGGTCACAGCAACACT